ATATATATATATATATATATATGAAAAGCTTAGATGCAAAATGTAGAATAGATCATGTTTTAACCTCATAACTATATTTACTGGCTTGTACTTTGCATATCATGGTTTGTATGTATTCAATTATTATAAATGTTCTTTGAATTGCTGATGTCCAAAATAATGTCCAGTGACTGCTCTACTGTCAATAAAAATATTTGTGATAATGTTGATAGTTAATGATTTCTATAAGAAAGTAACCAAAACCTCCAAATATATATATATATCTTGTTCACTTGATATGCCTCACTTCATTTAATGATACACAAATGTTTTTTCTACAGAGTATAAATTAGAGATGTAACAATGCAATACATATCATGACCTGTAGGTTACGAATGATACATATCAGTTGATTTGTGTATGTCAACCTCCTGCAGGTCAATCAGTTTATTATGTTTGATGAATTGCAAATACATTGAGTAACATACCAATTATGTTAGTTTCTAACAAACAAAAAAAATTTGGGATTGACATTTTAGTATAAAGCCTTTCACAGCTGGGATGCCACCAGGGGACATGCTTCAATGGCCATTATTCTGATGGGGCCAAGTCTATCGGTACACAAGAAGCAAGCAATTGCGACAAGGGATCGAGCATACTGACAGTTTTGGTAAACAGGTATCATGGGAAATATGATAGTGATCACCAGCACATGAAATGGCAAAAAGAAAAGTCTTGGTATGCATAAAGTGGGACAAAGAAAAAATGATAGTGTACATTTAAATATACATTTCTGGTGTTGGTATGCAGTACTAGCCCATTTCAAGCACTATTGTTCCCAAATACATGTATCGTGGAGCAAAATATTGTGACATATTTATATTAAAGGAAATCATTACAGCACTAATATAAATTCATATAAAACAATGTACAAACTACAAAACATCAGAGGAATTAGCAACAAAATACCACACCCATAAAATGTATCATTTAACAAAACAAAGAACTCCATGAAATATATAGTGCATAGCAAGTACATTATTCTGTTTTGTGGTTAAGCACAAAGCTACACAATGGGATATCTGTACTATGCCTGCCAGAAACTGAATTTTGAGCATTATTTGTCCTCAGACTAAGTAGTGAGCAGTACATTATTAATCAATATTAACCAATGTCTTTACCAAATAACTAAGGTTGAAAGTCACCGGAAAGTTTCATGTGATGCTATACCTTTTAATTGAAAATATAAATTGTACATATACTAAATTAAAAAAAAACAGAACCGCTAATAAATTATTTAACACAAGAAATCATTTTTTCAGTCAAAAAATTTTAAATAATCATTCCAAAATTTTGAAATATTAATAAAAATATAAAATTGTGATAAAATTATTATGATTTTGCTAATAAAATATTTGTAAGGTTAAAAATGTCAAAAAACATTACATAGAAGCCTCACTTTTGATATTCTGGTTCTTAGGTAATCCAACATGCATGTTATTTACTTATCACTTTAAAACAACAAAACAGACCCATACCCACTCACCTCAGTTTCCTCTTCATTATTCCAACACATGAGCATTACTTCATCTTCTTTCCTTAAACTATTTAGTTTGTTCAAGTTACAGGACTTTTTCTTTACAGTGTTCACACCTTAAAATTAAGAAATTGATATATTACTGTGATTGTTGCAGCACTTTCATACATTTTCACCTTTACATATTCCCTTGTTTGACCAAACAAATAATTTTGTTGAATTATCTCCCAGCACATTCAACTATCACACTCAAACTAATAAAGAATAATATATTGGTGGTCATCAATCCATAAGTCACATAAAAATACCAGTGCAAAAATTCATTTAAAACATACATAAAGAACTTTCAGTTAACCAAACATTATTTTTTCCTGTACAGATAAATAAGTCAAAAGTTATTAATTTTTTCTTTTAGAATCAGGTGTACCAAGAAAAAAATGATAAAAGGTATGCAAACAATATGAAGTTATATATACTATGTTGCACCTTCTTATAAACTTTTATTTTGTGATTCATCATGAAAATTCTGGTAAACTTAAAATCTGTTAAAATTTTCAAGACTAAACAGCATTGACAAAGAAAGGCAGCCAAACACATACCTTTGTCAAATGACTTGATATTAATTAACTCAACTATAGTTATCCCTAGTATAAAAAAATCATGCCCAATGTATCTTTAAACTTTTAATCTACCACCTTCAAATTCCAGGGACAACAGGCATAATGTATACACTTGTTTGTAAAGAAAGAAATTCTGTTACTTATATTTATTTCAGATGTAACATGACAAAAAATTTACTCTTAAGTTTAAGCCTTTTCAAATGTATGTTTCACTTTAATTTTAAAGCTTGTGAAAGTTTTAAATATTTTATAAATTTTTATTTTTTAATGTATGAAATTTAGTATCTTAAATTTTATTCAAATTTTTAGATGAAATCCTCATACTTAAATTTTAAAAATTAAGTGATATATACAATTTAAAAATATTACAAGTTTTGATAGAAATTTTGCTATGTTACACTGCCATTGAAAACAGAAATTCCCACAAAAGTGCAATACTCGTTTGTATATTTTACACTTAACTTTCCTTGTTTTTCCGGCCTTAATGTGATAAAATTAAATTTAAAGAGACACTGGTCGTAATTTTTATGCTACTGCCTACAGTTAAACCTATATTTATAAAATAACCTATAATGGCTATATGAAATTTACAGTATACAATTACAAAACGACGCAAATATTTCACATTTTTACACCAACTTTACGGAGCTTAATTTACGTATTATTAATTTACTTCATTAAGTAAAACTGCCCAAATTAATTAGATATACTGTATTATAAATATAATTTTTATGGTAATTTTTAGTATAAAGTAGTGTACTACTAGTACTAAGTACTATTAGCATTACTAGTAATTGTAAAAACAAAAAACTCGCTATACTTATATAAACTATATGTGAACATACATATGTCTAGCTTTCAATTTACCTTTAAAATATCCTGTTTCACACCCGATTAACATATCAAATCGTTCACATTCTTCAGTCATCATCAAATAAATTCAAATTTTTGCCTCTCCACAGTATTGTTACCGCTACACCTAACTTTACATCCAACGTGAACGACATGCATGTAACTTTGAATATAGTTTATCAGGGGGCGCTTTAAATGTTTTATTATATTAAACACCCAATTAATTTCAACTGAATTAGCGAACAATGTAGGTTATCCTAATGAAATATTGAGTTAATAAAGATACATTCGGGAAATATAAGTCATTATTTTATTTATATTGATAGAAATTTATCTTAAACTTCTTTTTTCTCGTTGCGTACCTAATTATTTTATAGCTACTTATTAAAATGAAACTTTTTAAAAGCTGTAATGTTTGACTTTTTTGCTTTCTTAATTACAGCTGTGTGTTTTGAGAATAAAATTGTATTTTAAAGTAACAGGTTCGGATCACTGATCTCTATAGTGAATAGAAATTGATGGTTCAGATATGTGAAATCGAATTTGAACTATACTACATATTAAGATATCTTTAATAATCTAGAAATAGCACAAAATTCAAATACGTGTGTTTTTGTTTCTATGTGGTTTATAGGCATAGAATATGAAAATTCTACCAACATGTTTTTCTGTTGTTATTTAATTTATTTTGTAAAGCACATGCAATATCCAATTTATTTGTCTTTAGATGTGTAGCTGCTTGAGATCCCAGCTTGTCTTATTTTTTAAATTGGCCGTTAGACAATTTTGCTGACTGTGTGCGAAAATGTTTAAAAGTAAGAAAAGGAAACTTAAAAAAAAACTTTCTTCGTGTAGCTCAAGCCTCTCCGAAACACAATATTGACAGTTTTTGTTACATCTAAAACAAGTATTATTAAATGAAGATCCTGTTGTCGGTATGTGTCACATTCACAGACTGTTTTGCGACCAAACTTAATATATTAAAGCGATAAAAAATGCTTTGAACCTAAAACCACTAATGTCTTATATAATGTAAATCTTATATTTATTTTCAAAGACAATACTCTTGGTGTGTTCAAATTAATCAATAAGTATTGTTTGTTTTTTGTTTTTAAGCACAAAGCTACACAGTAGGATATACGTGCTGATGTCACTAGGGGTATCTAAACCCGGTTTTTAGCGTTATAAGCCTTCATTGTGCAATTTGGGCGGCTTAACAAATAACTAAAGGAGGAAAAAATTAGACAAAAAATGCGACATTACATCATTATTGCTATTATTGCTACGACTACATGTTTTATTATTTGAGGGTCTAAGAGCAGCTGTTGAATTCCAATTCAACCAGCCTTGTAAGTAAGATGAGTAATATAACACATAAGATTTGAAAATCTGGAATGATGCTAAACTTTATTACGCCTACTATAGTCTGTTTGTGTTGTTTTCTATTCAGTTTATTTAATCAAACGCAAAAAAAAATGTTAATACATAGTTTTAATATCATAACAAATATTTATTATAAGATAATAACATATATATATGTATATTATCATTATTGTAAATTTAAAAAAAAAAAGTTCACATATCGATGTTTATTTACAACAATTCAAAAAGCTTTCGTTATCAAAGATGTGACTGAATGCTAAACAGGTGCTCATGATTATTTAACTATTTTATTTAACATACACACAAAAAGAAAGTGGTTTAATGAAATATAACACTTTACTTTTTATCTGTGAAATACGAATTAACTTGGAAAATGCTCTGCATGTGATATCACAGTTCTTCCCTAAATGTATGTAGGAAGTGCCTTACAAAAAGGCTTTTATAATTTTTTCCTCTTGAAGTAACATTATCAAACCAATTTCTAATGCTATAAAATGACGAAAAACATCATTTCATTGAAATTTTGATAAATTTTATTAGTTTTAAAATAGTTTACATATGATTTCTACTTAAATAGAATCACCATTAAAAGTCATCGGCCACGCCTTTAAGGATTTTTCATTTAACCCATTTAGCTAAATATGCGCATAAACAAAAGTATTGAGAAATAAATGATACTGTTGCATATATATACAAGATTTGAAACCTACGTAGAATTCGTGTTACTCTTATTATTCTGAATTATTCAGCAAACAACCTGTTTTCAATACTAAAAATAAATGGCAAGTGCAATTATCAACTTATCATTCGTTTCACTACTTATAATTGAGTTATACCGGCTTTGAGGAATTTCACTCCTTATCAATAACCCATTAAATGGTAGTGTTCTTGCCCACTCTCCAGTGGCACAACAGTATGTCTGCGGACTTACAACGCTAAAAACCGGGTTTCGATACCCGTGGTGGGCAGAGCACAGATAGCCCATCGTGTAGCTTTGTACATAACTTTAAACAAGCTACTTAATTATAGTATTTTGGCAATTGTGTATAAAGTTAAAATCATAAATAATATTCACCGTTAAACTGGTATATAATTAAAAACATTTTATTTAGGCCTATCTATGACCTTCAAAAATTTGACGACTCCACATGTTTCGACAGTTTAACGTTGAATATTATTTATGATTTTAAACAAGCTACTGTTCTTATGATTTGGAAGTGCAAGAGTTATTCGACAGAGGGCGGCAAAAACATAAAGTTGAATTCATTTTTCTGGTTACTGCACGTCAAAATATTTCAAATTTTTTAGACATTCTGGTATTGTTAATCACCAGAAAATCTATTATTACCCTGTACTTTGTAAAAACAAGCAAAGAACGTTATGAAGCCAGCTTAGTAAAACAAAGGTTTTACAAATTGGAAAAAATAAAATAAAAACTCATTAAAATGTGTTTTTATTGTTTGTTTGAAATTAAGTACAAAGCTACACAATGCCCTGCCTACCACAGGTATCGAAACCGGATTCTAGTGTTGTAAGTCCGCAGACATACCGCTGTGTCACTGGGGAGGATAGGTGTTTTTAATGACATTTTAAGAAATAAAACTTTTATTTTGACCTTTTGGTAAGATTAAAACAAGTTTCAATATATTTCTTCGCATATTTCGATAGTGACTGTTGGTTTTTTGTTCTGTTGTCGTAAAAACGCGCACCGCATATTGGAGCCGTTGCCTATAAAATTGAGAGCTAGAATTTTCTTATTCTGTCAGATAAAAGTAAGAGAAGCTCAAGAGATGGCGGTGGAAGCCTTTGACTAACTACCTTCCCTTAAGTCTCAGCTTAACTTAGGGACGGCTCTTTGTAGATAGCTCTCTGTGTAGCTTGGAAGAAAGATTTCCTAAACAAAATCAAACTATGATAACAACAAAAAAGAATCTGAACTTTTTTTTATTGACAATCTCAATATTCAGTCATTATCGAGTCCCACAATGAGTCAGCGGGAAGTATACGGACTTTCAACGCTGAAATCCAGGGCTCGATTTACTGTGATAGACGGAGCACACACACAAAACAACAACAACACCAAAAAAAAAACAACAAAAAAACCACAAGTAAAATAAAATAAATTAGTATATCTAAATCTCTAGAAGAATTATTTGTCATCCGACGATAGCTCAGTTGGTAGAGCGGTGGACTGTAGTAAGAAATCTGTAATCCATAGGTCGGTGGTTCAAATCCGCCTCGTCGGAATGTTATTAGTGAATTATTTTTTTCTTTCTTCTTTAACTTACTCTTTCTTCAATTACGTATTAAAACCTACTGCATTAATTTTCATTGATAAGCGAACATGAGCTTAATTTCGTTAATTTTCCCATTCTACGAAGCAGTGAGTATATAACTTATTTATTGTTCTCTGTAATTCTAGACAGAGATTATTTCATGTTATTAGATAAGAAATCAATTTTTCAGGATCTTATGTGAAAAAAGTACCAATATTGTACGTTGTGAAGAATAGGGGTGAAATATGTTATTGTTGTCTGTTAATCTAGGTGATTATTAAATATCGCTTAAAGAGATTTAAAAAAAGAGAGAAAAAAATGCCATTTACTTAAGAGAGAGAGTGAGGTAAAATGTCCGTTACTTAAAAAAGTTGTGGCCTGCTAGTTAGTATGCTTGGAATGTGAATATAAGGGTTCATTTATAGTTTATTAAGGATATTCATTATCCTAAATATTTCAACATATCTAATGGTTTTGAACGAGACTAACCAATTATAAGTTCTACCTGTTGGGCATTATAGACGTACTTAATAGTCTTCTTCTGATTATAGTTTAATTTCAAATGGGACGGTACATGTTTCTCTAGTCTGTTTTTTTGCTACTGCAGGCCGGTATTTACATAGAGTTTTTCTTATTTGATTAAAAAATTGTTTTTTGTTAGCTACCATTAATCAACGGAAGCACACATCAGCATATATTTGCAGCAGCGCATGTAATTTGCAAATAACAAGCTAAAACAACAAAAGCTATGTAAAAAGCCTGTGTAACTCGAACAATATGAATTGTTTAGATGTACCCCCGAGCGTCTTCGGCAAGTTTACGGAATTACAACGCTAAAATCCATGATTCGATTCCCCGCGGTGGACAGAAAGCATATAATTTATCGTGTAGCATCGCGGTAAAACAAACCAAATTGCTTAGACACGATAAAGTACAGTAAAATTTAAAAGTCTTTGTTGCTTTTAATGAATAAATTAATTTCTGTTAAAAGTCTGTTTTGCACACTAAAAGTTACATGACCGTGTATTGCTCTACATTTTTATATTATAATAATTTACATAATACGATTTGCAGAACTGAATCCGTTGAAATAAATATAACTTTGTATATGTGGAAGATCGCACAATTTATTACAAAACCCTTTACGAATATTATGTTACAATTACTGAAAATCTGTATGCATGATTAAAATAAGTATTATTTTATTATGCCAACACCGATTTTAACTACAGTCCGAATATACCTAAAGGCAAGGGTTAAACTGGGGCGAACGGTCCGGAACGGCATTTCGTTTCTTGAAGATTAATGCCATCAGCGTTCCTGGTCTTCTGTTTGGAATGTCAAAGTAGATTACAAACAAAGGTGTTCTAAAGCACTTTGGTAATGCTAGCACCCATTATTATTTACAGAGGTCCCATTAAATATACCGAAAAAGATCCTCCATTATCACCAATTACTTCTACAACTATAAAGGAAAGGTCCATACGGCCCGCACCCCAACAACAGCA